GTTGCGTTGCCAGACGGTTCTTTTTGTACCCGTACTTTATATAAGTATGTGCTCGTAAGGTGGTCAAGAAAATAATTCTTCTCCAGAAAATGGGCGAAAAGCACAGCCCCTTTCCACCTTCCGAGACAGACGGAAGGAACGAAGCCGCTAGACTCCGCTGGAAGAGGTGAGCCCAACGACATGCCGGTGTCATATTATTATGTGCTCGAGTACAAGTACCGGTGGCCAGAACACCAAAGTACAAGTACAGTACTCGAGTACCGGTACAAAAAATGAAATCGTCCATCATGCATGCTTTATTTTCCTGCCGTCCTCCCCTGCTGGAATAACAGCTTTGCGTATGGTTTAGCGTGTCATCTGCTAGAACAATTCAGCCCGGAGCGCCTGTGCGGTACCGGTGGTTCGGTAGACTCACGATGCAATAGGGAGAGGCTTGAGTAGTATTGTAGTAAGTTTTCTTGCGCATAATAATACAGCCAGTCGCTAAAATAGTAGTAGGTGGATTCAGTAGGCTCGCGGCACTGGTTGCTAGGGTAATGTGCTCGTACAAGTGGGCATGATAGCATAACGCCCTCACCCGGGCCTAATTACGCTCTGGAGACTTAGCAAACAGTGCTGGTTGGGTCACTAGTCTTAGGTTTTCCTTGATTACCGTATCATGGGCCAGATTAGGGAGATGCACTACCGGTAATCCCAATTACTTCCCTAACAAAACTTTTGGCCTCCATTTCTCCCCTCACTGCTCCCTTGCAATTGCAGATTTTTTTGTTTTCCGTTTTGCTTTTTGAAAAACATCCCGGGATCTTGGCTTTATTCCACTTCAAAGATTTGCCCCACCACCCTTTGTTGTCTTCCGAGAAGCATTCCGGGAGAAGGGATATTCTGGGCAGGTACTGTATACCGTAACCCCTAGGGAAGAATGAAGATCTTTCGGGTAACCTCACTTAACTCTTTACTGAGCCTTTCTTGGCCTAGCGAACCGTGCGCCGAACCAGCTAAAGCCACCCAGTCAAGCCAGGCACTAGCGCAAATCAAGGCCTGGGAACTTTGTGGAGGTGGCTGTACCTGTAAGGATAGGATCTCCCCCTCTCCAAGCACTCCTAGCCTAATACTCGTACCGTAGCCCAATGTGACAAGAGTTTTTCTTCCTGACAGGCCGCTCAAATCACCATGTGAGAACTAAAGGTGTGTTGGGACCATACTCGAGTATCGGTGTATGGTACTCATATATAACCCGGCATGGCTAAAAAGGATGGAAAAACAAAAGTTCGGCAAGATCCTGTGTAGGGCGCCCGTAGTGGGTGGGCAGACGGGCATCTGCAATGAGATGGAGGAACGAGGCCTGATAGGGGCGAGCAGCCCCGGATAGATATTGGATAACCTGCATTATTTTACCAATTGCCGGTGGGAAAATACCGTGCCGGTAGCGTAATGTGCGAGCGGGAACCATGAAATTGGGCTCAGCACAGACCAGCCTCACAGGGATTGCTGGTAACCCCGAGAAGCCCTTCAGGATCTCTGATTCCCATCCCTGGAGGAAGGTAAACAACAATGCAGCTCAACTCGCCTGGGTTCCTAATTTCAACAATACTCGTACTATGTTTCTTTCGGGAAGTTTATTGATCGATCGACATGATCCCTGCTCTGCCAGCTGCCGCCACAAGTTTTTCCGCCCTCTCTCACCATGCGGGTACTATCGTCAAGAGTAACAGTAAAGCATCCTGCGAAACTTTTACACCGAGGTTTGGTGCCATTTAATCCTCCTCGTCGTCATCGTCGTCGCCATCCCCGTCCGAACCATCGCCCAAATCCCCCAGATCGTCATCCCCTACATCGTCACCCATGCTTACCACAAGCTCCAATACCTCCTCCTCTTGTGCCCCTCTCACCCTCTCGCAGGGGTATCTCCAAGCAGACTTATGATCCAAGGTTGGACGACTGCTGGGTCTCTCGATCTTGTAACAGACCCTCCGAACCAGAACTCCCAGAACGTTTTCCCCCAAAATCGTCCCCTCCATAAACCCTTCTCCTTTAACAAAACCGGTAGTTTCAGCACTGACGTGCACTGGGAGCCCCGCGGCCTCGAGGGGAGCGCACACGTTGACACTCGCTTCGCTGCTCGTGTCGATCTTTTGCTTGAGCACGCCGTCTATGATGACCTGCAATCCGACGATAAAGTAGACTCGGCGGTGGAATTGGGCCATCCTGTTCAGCCAATTCTGGACATCCGGCTCCTGCACAACCCTACTGAATATAGTGTCGGGTTGTTTGAGCACTATGTGGTAAGCCGTGGGAGCGTGGAGGTCGATCGTGCTTGCCTTTCTGGCTCCGAAGAGTGCCCCGAAAAGGTTTGTGAGGGATACGCTAAGCCTCGCCGATTCGTCCAACGTAACGGTGGTTGTGTAACCGCTATATACCGTCTTCGCGTAGTCATCTTCCGTGGCTGGCCTCTCGGGTATGCACGGGTCGAGCGAGGGGTCCCGCGGGTCCGGCAAGAGTTGACCAAGGTTGACGAGTGAGGGTGGGAAAACCTTTGGTAACAGGACTGATTTTGGCGGCGGACTCATGTTCTCAGCTGTGAGGGTTTGCTCGGGCTATGATGGGTGTTTTTCTTTCTTTCCTTCTTTCTTCACCGGTTATCTGGCTGTGGGAATCCGAGGAGCCATTGGTGATGATTTATGTGGAGATTCTATTCTATTAATGCTCTGCCTTCGTCGCACAGGGCTGGGGGCATTGGGAGGGAAGAGGGGTTTTAGATACTCGATTGGGGATCTGCGGTGCTCGGATATACAGGGATCTCACGGCCCAATTGTCTGATCCATCACATACCGGTATTCGGGCCGTCTTTCAATCCCATAGGGCGTGGTTTTATCCTTCCTGCAGTGGATGGTCATTGAGACAGTGTTCTCCCCCCGAGGCCCACTGACCTGCACTTAATAAAAGCTGCAATGTAAATCAAGGCTACGAAGCTGTTTCTTATTTTGCGTTCCATGCGTTATATCAGCTACCGGTAACGAGAAATTTTCGCGGGTGTCCACCCTGGGAGTACAGTACATGAAAGAATCTATACTGCCTTCGAGGGGATTCCTGCCAACCCAGGCAAAGTCCTCGATGACGATTTCGAGGGGGCGGTTGGGCTTTTTGTTGATGTGGCTATAAACACTCTAGGAAGGTATAATATCATAGGATCGAGAACATAGACAACTTGGAATTAGCGATAGGCCGTTTGACGAAGGAATCGGTCGCCCTTCAGCAACGATTGATCCCAAGCTCTCAGAATACCGTAAAACCCCTTATATAATGCACTTATACAATACTCTATCAGATTATCAGCGGAAATCGGCCCGTCAGACCACGATAGGTTGAGTTTGATAGGTTAAGAGAGAATCGCGAATACCGCCTCGGATCCAACAGATCCAGCGTGCTGATCTTGTTCGTACCATGTGGGGGAAAGTCTAATCCTTCTCAGGAACTTTGACTCAGAGTCCTGAGATTAAAGGGCTGGCGGAGATGTGGAATAATGGAGGGTTTTTTTTTACTGGAAAGTTCTCATACCCCTCCAAGCATCCCTAGCCCCCAGATGTACCTCAATACTCCTCTTTTCCTTACTCGCACTGTTCAGTAAATTAATTTGTGATAAAGGTTTAAAATATCTTGAGGGCATATCCGAAAATGGTTATCAAAGGACCTCTTTCTGTTCTTTTGCTGTTTACCGGTATAGTTCTTGGGGGACAGTACAAGGAGGGTTATGGGACTTTACGAAGGAGGCTGAATGGGGAGGCTGGTTTAGTAGACGCCCTTCATGAGATTATTACTAAGCTAATGGGAAAGAGGCATTGGCGCCCCAAGGATTTCCCAAACGCTGCCCCATTGCCTCCACAAGCTGCTTGTGCTTGCTAATGAACAAGAAGACATTGAGTGGATGCTGCGGGAGAAAAAAACGACAAGCAGTTGCTCATTTTTCGCTAGTTGGAAGGTAATTGCGTGGTGCGCAAGCTATCGTTTTCCTTCTCATGGGAAAGTTTTGCTCGGATCTGATATTTGCTGTGTTTTAGAAAGCCATGCACCGTAGATTGTTAGAGGTAGTAAATGCAGTAGCTCTCTCGACGTAGACCTCGGCTGCGGCTATGCGGCTTTCTGCCCGGTGGGAGAAGGTGCATAGTCTCGAGTGATAAGGAGTGATGGTGCCGAATCCTTTGAACCTCCCCGTGATACACTCCGTGCCTGATCTAGCCGTATTTTTTTACTATACAATGGGGTAGTCCACTCGATTTTGTGCCACCATTCTCTCCTACTTTCATCTCTCTTTCTCTCTTTTTATTTTTGTTTTGAAATATCTGAACATTAGCCTAAAATACCCGTGCACTGGTTCTCGCCTGATAGGCTCCACTCCCGACAGGGCTCGAGTGCCCATGTTCCAAGTGCGGTGCGCGATATGCAGACTAAACGCTTTTTGATGCTTGATGTGCTCTGGGAGAAATCGGTACACCATGGCTATCCCTTGGCTGTGTTAGTATTCAGCAGGGGCAATGCGAATTCCTGTATATCCCATTGGGATTGCTGGCTAAGATATCCTCAGTCTTTTGGTTCTCGGCGACTCCCAGTTAAGTTGCGTGAGCTATCCGGTTTCCGGGGCTTAACTCAGAGCCACCGCGACGGTCCGCGATATCTCTCGAAGCTTGGATATGGTATACACTTGAGATAGCGGCTGGAATTAGTAAGGGGTGGGTATTACCATGTGGTTATTGGGAGTGCCTGGGTGTCCGAGAGCAGGGATGGTGGCAAGTTTGGTGGGAGCCGGAGGGCAAAAGGGGATAATGCAGCGACGGTGGCAATTATTGTTTGATGCTTGTGGATTGTAGCTGCGATATTGTAAATGACCAACTTATTGAACTTTGGAGCATCTTATTCGCCTAGGAAACCCTAACCCTATATGCACTACCGGGAGTCCGTAACCTCCCTCCCCCTCGGCTTCGGTCAAGACATCACAAAATTTCATTTACCACCGACGGTACCTCTACAGGGCACCGGTATTTGATAACGGTAGAGACATGCATTAGAGACACTGTCTTAGATCCCAGCATACTGTACCTTCCCATCCACGAAAAAGGCCCCAAATCATAAGAGAGCAGGAGCAACCAGGCGGTCTCAGTCCTCGTGTGGGTACTCAGTTGCTAGATATCCCACCTTCCTGTTCCTAGCGCCCAGCATGCACACCCGGAAAAGCGTGCCCCCCACGAGGTGGATCGATAGGCTTTTGCGGGACCTCCCCACGGGGACGCCAAAAACACAATCGGAAGGAAGGTGGATGGATATATTGCACCGACCAATCATGTGTTCAGATGCTTCGGGTGAACCCTGTATTGCTCAGGTACGAGACATACAAGTACGGCTCCTTATACAATTTGGGTCCGATTCGGAGATAATACTTGCAGAGTAAAGTACGGGGTGGATACCGTACCCACTATGCGCACACCCACGTGCTGAAGTTGGACCTGTCGTGTTGTGTTGTGCCTCGGGACTGGTGGGGAGTTGCTTAATTGAGGACCTCGCAGGAGGTATGATCGAAAGAAAAAAAGGTAGTGTATGATACGCAAATTATTGAGTAGGTGTCTGGGGGCAATTAATTATCTAGTGGGTATTGCACGCAGGTATAAGAACAAGGTACAGCCCGTTCTCTTTTTCGTTTCCCTGTTTGCCCGCGAGTGACTGCTTTTTTTCACTGGGTGGCATGAAGTTTTCCTTATTTTCTCTTGGCCTTTCGGGGCTTTTCTCTCTCGGCGCTTCCCTGACGATCTCTGAAATCAATGGCCCGGCACACAGGTCTCCCTGTGAGGATAAAGACGTGACAGATGTCACTGGCCTTGTCACCGCTATTGGTCCTTCGGGTTTCTTCCTTAGGGATACGGCTCCCGACAGCCTTATCCAGACATCGAGTTCGGTCTATGTCTTCACTTCCTCCTCGACAACCATCCGGGGTAACATCGCCGTCGGCGACATAATCACCATCGATGGACGTATCATCGAGTATAGGAGCAACAGAGCGTACTTGTTCTTGACGGAGATCAGTGTACCGAAGAACCTGCGCAAGGTGTCCAGCGGGAACAAAGTCGAGCCAGTTGTGCTTGGAAAGGAGAGGTCGCCGCTAGTGTATCGCTACTCTGGGATAGACGAGAAGGCCGGCGGAGTATTTGCTGTGCCGAACAACCAAAGTCTGTATTCGGTGGTAAATGCTACGGTTGAGGAGGAAAAGTATGGATTGGACTTTTGGGAGAGCTTGAGTGGGGAATTGGTTAGAGTTCCTGGACCTATTGCGCTTTCTAAGCCGAGTAACTTTGGGGATGTCTGGGTGCATGGGGAGTGGAGGGTTACTGGGAAGAATTCTCGAGGGGGTTTGACTATTGTCCCCGGTATGGGTTGGATGAAAGACCCAATCCGATTTTGAGGCAATGGCTAATGGGAAATAGGATCCTCGGGAGCCGACGCCAATCCGGAGGCTATCCGAATCGGCTCCCCTCTCGACGGTACTAAAAACGAAGCGACTAGGCTCGGTGATAAGCTAGAAGAAATCACCGGTGTCGTCACCTATGCCTTCGGTTTCTATACAGTCCTCCCACTGACCGCGGTCAGGGTTAGGTCTAACGCGGAACCGTCTCTCCCACCGCCAACATCGCTAAAGTCTAGCTCCACCTGCTCGGGCTTGACCTTTGGCTGCTACAATGTCGAGAACCTCGCTCTCAACTCAGCACACCTACCTAAGGTCGCAGACCACATTGTGACATATATGGGCACCCCAGACTTCGTCTTCTTGCAGGAAGTCCAGGATGATGACGGGCCAAATAATTCCGGTAACGTAAGCTCGAACCAAACGCTCGCCGCGCTATCTGCAGCTGTAAGGGAGCGCTCGGGGGTAAGCTATATGTTCGCCGTCATCGACCCCGTCGATGGGAGGGACGGTGGCCAGCCCGGAGGAAATATCCGGGTAGCATACTTATACAATCCGGACTTCTTTACCCCGCGCAACCCAAACTTAGGGTCAAGCATAGATGCCACGGAAGTCCTCCCAGGACCGGAGTTGAAATTTAACCCAGGGAGGATCGATCCTGCGAATGTCGCCTGGACTGATAGTAGAAAGCCACTTGCTGCTGTGTTTGATATTAAAGATGGTGACAAGGTTTTCGTCATCAACGTGCACTTTACGAGCAAAGGCGGCAGCAGCAGCATCCAAGGCGACGCCAGGCCGCCAGTTAACGGTGGTGTCGCAGACAGACAAGCTCAAGCCGAAACTGTCGCTGTATGTCCATTACTTTGAGACCTATACCATATCTTGGTTGCTGATGTATATAGTCATTCGTCTCCAAAATCCTCGCCGAGGACCGCGCGGCAAAGATAATAATTGCAGGTGACTTCAACGAATTCACATACGTATCCCCGATGCGCGCCTTCGATGGAATAGCCTACGACCTCGACATAGTCACCTCGATTCCAGTCGAGGAGAGATACACCTATCTTTTTGACATGAACAGTCAGCAATTGGACCACATGTTAGTCAGCTATGAGATTACGCAGAGGGATCCGGAGTATGAACACGTGCATGTCAATACCTGGAATAGTTTAGAGGGAGAAGTGTCGGATCATGACCCCAGTGTTGCGAAGCTGAACGTTTGCAAATAGACAAAGGGGGACCAGGAGGGAAAGGCCAAAATCAGAGGGGGCTATAATAATGTTATATGGCTGTTACCATTTATGAGGTAATTAGAGGGCCCCCGCATCTAAGTGCTCAGGGTGGGGTTATTCGTTTTCTTTTTTCCCCGAAGGATCGCTCCTCAAGCATTGCTTAGGCTGCTGAGGCTGGATGCCTCCAACTTAGGGTTATGTTTGTATTCTTTCATCCTCACAGGGTCTGGGTCCCTATGAGATTCCGCCAAGTATCGCCAAATTCCTATCCATATTAGTTGACAACTCACTGCCAACGCTTCCACTATCTTCCTTCGTTACTTGCAGATAATCAACTTCTCTCGCCCCCAGCACCTGCCAACAGCCCTGTTGGAGGTCACACAGAAGAGGTCGGAATTGAAGTGCAAAGTAATAGGACTGATAAAAATGCTAGCGATATGAGGATATACGGATACCCACACTTAGGTCATGTATAAAGGTTTGGCTTGGTTGGGTTCAGGGCACTCCTGTTTTGGGTGTTGGCATTCATGTTTTCCTTCTTAGATAGCTTTCTCTCTTTCTTTAGTTAGCGTTATCGATCATCTCTCCTCCACCTCTGGCACAGTCCACGTTCCACATCACAACAAAAAATAAGAGAAAGAGAAAGATAGTTGTTGTGCTTGCTTGTTCTGCAGATACGCCTCAGACTGCCATACTTATAGCATTTTGTAGTATGAATATACACCAATATGACTCCAGTCATTTCCCAGTTCAGCATGTCCCAAACGGCCAAAGGCCGGCCGAACATATCCGTACCACTCATCATATTGTGGTAACACTTCAGACAAGCCCCAGACTCATTTCACCGAGTGAGACTGTATGATCACCCAGAAGCACATGTCATACAATAAATCAACCACCACAGCTAGAAAACTTGGAAAGCGTTACCATCCCCTTATCCAATCACCAAGGCAACGGGTTTACTAGTCTATGATCCAACAAAAACCACACAGCAATCCGTCCGGCTCCTCATTACCGCTAGTATCCTAGCTCCTGTTGGTGTGTAGCCATATATTCCAGTTTACTACTACGGGATGGGTAGGCCCGGCCCTAGTCCGGAGACCGACCTACTCCTGCGGGGGCCTTGTGAATACAATATACTAGTTAGTCAAGCTGAGAGAGAATAACGGGGAAGGGGAACTTACAGGGCTTAAAAAGACCATCAACACCACCAACACAAGCTATGGGGTATTGACTTTGTCGGATCGCGGGATGAGGAGCAACCCGCAAATATATTCCGGTCTGGCATAGTCTCCAACGGGATTGGGCCTGCTGACTTGACCACTCTCAAGGAATGTGAGCCAGCAATCATAGCAAGCTTTAGTGCGGTGACGAAAGGACAGGTGATACACTTACAAATCTCACAAAAGCCAGACACAGCACCACTAAACCTGGATTCCAAGTCTCCCCCCTCCAACGAGGACAACGTAAAGCGGTCCCTAGCCAAGATGTGATGATCCCGGGCTTGGGTTTTTTCACAGCCGCGTGTGCTCTCTACAGAATACGTCATCGATAATGGCATTGGCTTCAGTGGTGGGGCTTGTAAGGCTACGGAACGGATGGAATGGGGGCTACGGTTATAAGGATTGGAGGACAGGAGAAAAGGGGGGAGGGAGGAGCGGGGTGAGGCGGAGGAGAAGGAAAGGAGAGGAAAGGAGGAGGAGGGAAGATGTATTCAGCTCCGGACGCTCCTGCAACTGTAGTGTTAGGAAGGAGCTAGAGTAAACTTTGATTGGGAATGACCTCCGGCTCTCGGGTGACCAGAGGCCAGAACTATGGGGGCGGAATGCTCGTCATCGCTAATAGGATCTAACAGTCATCTATAGGGTAACTAAGTTACTTCTGAGCACGATATGTAATGGACAAGAGAAATCTTTTCTCTAACCATCCTAGAATCTCAGGTACCCCTTCCTCTACCCAATAAGGATAGCCCAAACAAAAATAAGCCCATCTCAGGAGATCTTGGTCTCGAGCCCGCCGAGTATCCGCCATCTGATGGACGTGTTTCTCGAAATTTTCCACTTCGGCCCTGTCAACAATGGGCACCGTTTCTCTCTACCTAAAGCACACGATACATCTCCCAGAAAACGGCTGGAGAGGCAATGTGTTTTAGGAGGAAGGACACACTTAGGTCGGGCTACTCATGCCAGCACTGGGCCGACCACACCCCAGGAAACATCGCAGTTTCCCCAAGTGAAGGTGCAGCCCCAGCGACCAGCCATTAGTATGTATTGCTAAACTTACAGCACTAGGAGGGTAGATGGGTGACCATGACTACTTAGGGAATTACTGCATCAGTTAATACTCAATTTCGAAAATCTTGAACACCATACCCGAAACATTCACATTGGAAACTCCTCCCCTCGACACCCACACCCAAACAAACGAAAACCCTCTTAAGATTTCTCCAGTCTCAACTCATCCCATGGATGTACCCCTCGGGACCCCCGGCCTCAGTGGTCGGCGCCGCTTCTGGTGAACCAAAAACAGATACCACTCTACGGGTAATGGATAGTCGCAGAATAGATGTGCCTTTGATGGAGATGGGGTGTTTGAGAACCCGGTGGGCCGCGAGGCGAGACATACCTCGGGGGCCGCCTAGGTCTCTCCAACCGAGCGGGCTCTTAGAGGATTTGTCACCGGTAGCGGCCGCTGATTTGGCGATGGGAGCTCGTGATGTTGTGGGGCGGGGACCACATCTGCGCCGCCCGGAGTATACCGGCAGAGGAGAAGGGGGAGAGGAGGTGAAATTGAGAGGAACAGTCCGCTCAGGATGCTGGCGCAACACCGACGTTACCTGCGATAGAGTGATCACTCGTTGCGATAATAATATCCAACGCTCCGATGCCAGAGGTTAGAGGTCAGAGCAACCAGGGTATACAGACAACTCTAGCGGAACCCGACAGCCGTCTGTGAATTATTAATTAACTATTACTCTCAGGTATGATAGAACGGACAAGGGGAACCCTTTACTAGCCATCCCGGAGAACAGACGAAGGAGAGAAACATTAGAGAGTAAGCATAAGCGACTCCCATTTGTGCGCAGAAAATGTCAGCGGAACCCAGTAGGCCTTAGGCAGAAGCATATCACGAAAGCCACAAAATTACTGGTGTGTAGTCACAGAGGTTGAGCCGCGATTGTGTCAATACTAATACCCGCAAGCGACACATTTTGGAGATGCATTTTGCGGGGTATGGTACCACACATAAGCGGGTGTCCAAGCTGACAAATTGGCATCCTGAATCCGAGCTGATGCAGGGGATTCGCCCGGTTTATCCATCACCTCTCTTCAAATAGCTCATGCGTCTATTGCATCTTAATTTCACACCTTAAGAGTTCACGAACAATCCAATGTCCGAAACCACCGACAAGCAAGAAATCGTTACTGGAAGATGCCACTGCCAAGCGGTCACATACAGCTTTGCTTTTACCTGTCCATTAACAGCACTGTACACTCATGAGGCCTTTATCAGACGTCAGACTGGATTCCCTATCAATCTCTACATTCCCATGAACGCAGACTTGAACTTCCAGTTTCTACCCGACTCACCAACTCTGCAATCCTTCAAATCTGGCGATAACACAGCGTTCTTCTGTAAGAGCTGCGGGACTACACTCTCTTTCACGAATGGAAGCGGCAAATTACCTTGCATATTGGCGCCGACTATTGAACTGCTCCCAGGGAAACAATTAAGCGACTATTTACACCCCCGAGCACACATATATTTGAGCGAGGCCGGAAGGGGAATTGGAGGACTTGCGGGCATCATTGAGGATGGGTTGCCTCATTATATGGGAAACACAGGAAAAGCTCCCACCTGTGAGTCTCTGATGGTGGCGGAGCAGCCGGTGGTGGGTCAGTCGCCGGGGATGAACGAGAATTACCAGAGTGGTCCGGACGTTCTAGACGGCCACTGTTGTTGTGGGGCACTTCGCTTCTCTATTGCAAGACCCCCAGAGGACTATGAGAATGACCCTATTCTAAAGCGCTGGATAAAGCCGTAGGTGGCATTACCCAATACAAATAGCGCAGCTAACATCTATTACCTCCTCTTAGTGGTAGGAAGTTCGCAGCCTCCTTTTGCTTCTGCACTTCCTGCAGAGCCGTTTCCGGAGCTCCGCTCTTCGGTTGGTGCTTTACTCCAACAAAGCTGCTCGACATATCTCCACTAAGCATACCGAGTCTAGCGGTTTACAAATCTAGTGACAAAAGCACACGCCGGTTTTGCGCTTCATGTGGCGCTACAGCATTCTTTGCCTTAGACTCCCTAAATAATGAGATGTGGGACATTGCCATTGGGTTACTACCCCTGGGGGAGCTAGAGAGCGGGGACTGGTGTATTTGGAAATACGATGGAGGGGATCAGTTCGTTGATAGCTACATTCACGGATGGAAGGACGGCACCCTAAGTTATGAGTGTGATGGAGAGAACTATTTCAAGGGCCTAGTTGAGCAGGTCAGATCTAGTCGGAGCAATTCTGGGCTTGTAAACTAAGGGAAATCAGGGCCGCTAGGGGGGCATTGCGGGACCCAATTTAAAAGGCCATTCCCCCAAAATTCTCGGTTAATTTTAACAAGCTATCAAAGCCGGTATCAAGTGCGAAAAGAACGGGCATGGTAAAAATGGTTTTGTGGATTCCCCGGGATGATTAGATACCAAATCAACCCGTCCAATCACAAATCGCAGGACAGGGCCCTAGCTAATCAAATACAGTATCCCTTCTTTGGTAAGGGTAATGTAAATCATTAAGCGGCAAGAAATAATTGGCGTTTAGCTCGCTTAGTACTATTTATTGTGTTGAATATGTGAGCGCCGCACAAGTATTCTAGGTAGGGGTCCACACTCGAACGATTACCAGCACTTGCCCGACAATAATGAGAAAGCCAACATTAGATATTTTTCAGAGCAGCTATTACAAAAATGCCCCTCTGTGCACCCGCACCATATATCGCTGTGCTAGGTGGAAACCTAATTCTCATCAATAAGTCAAATCGTTCCCAGCATGTCGATGAACCCAGACACGCAACCCCTCTCAAACTTACCGGCATTTATTAAACTATGCCAAGTAATAGCTCCTTACTGCGATCAGCCCCTTAGTAGGACATCCTACTGCACCCTTCTGCTGTTAAACTACCTCCCCGATTCCCCTTTTGAGTTAACAGAAATTGGATGACGGTATCATAATCCACATCGCATGCTCCAGTTAGGCCAGGTCTACCATTCGTGCCTCCGCAGCAGTATTTCACCATTAAAATTCAAGCGGAAACATAATATTCAAGCTTACGCCTCAAGCGTCCAACCATATTAGACATTTTCACATTTAGTCACTCGACGCGGCTTTCCTTCTCAGTGAATATTCTTCCTACAATACAGAAAAGACATCAAAAATAGATTGACGGTTACTAAAAGTACCCAGATGATTTAAAAATTTGCAACGCAGCCCACCTTACCTCTCATCCACCCCCCAATTCTCTGGGCAGTCCCAAATGCCAGAACAAACAGGTCCCTTGGCACTCCTTGCATCCCCACCATCATCGTAACTGCCACCGTAACTTCAGAACAAACCCCAAAATCTTCAACCTTCCAGTAAACAGTGTAAGCATCTTCCTCAAACCCACTCATCCTCTCCGATGGCGATTCACAGATTTCGAGTCGTTTCACTCTTTTCAATTTCCTTTCTATGCATTCCCTCACTCTCATCAACAGTACCAACACAACTCCCCCGAGGAGTAAATACTGATAATCTCGCGCGGATCATGTAATAAACCCGCGCCACCGAAAGAATGGTACATCTCTCATTACGGTCAACCATGTTCGGAGGGTTTTTACCCCACAAATCACAGGCGGACCCTTCAACCAATTGAAAAGACAAGCTATATCGACGCGATACTGCATTATCAGCTTGTTAATAGTATTATTCTCATTTATATTTCTTCTAGGGCCATATATCCCTTACTCCGAACAACCCTACAAATCGTTCTGTCTCACAAATGGAACAGGCGGTGGCTGAGTATCTGATGGCCATTTCAAAATCCCAATTCTACATCTTTGTCCTGGTTGGAGCATCGAGCGCAACGACCGCTGTTTAACCAGGAACTTCCGTCCACAGTTCCCTACACCTTGGTTCAGTGAGACAGAGGTCAACTGCACAATGGCTGAGGGCAGTTACGGTAGCTTTTGGCGGAACCCGGAAGGCATGCTTGAAGTTGAGAGGATGGGACCTCATGGTGCAGGGCATTTAGGCATTGGGCGTATGCAGTTCACGCATTCTACTAAGGTCCTGTTTGGCTCACGCATTTTGTAAGGAAAACCCTTATAGAATACATTTTGTACTCGTCCCGGGTACCCGAACACGGGGGGTTAGATGGAGTCGGAGGAGAGGTGAAGGTAGAGGAAGGAATGGAGGATAAATTTGGACTAAATTGTATGGCCTGGAAGTATGAGGACAGCGCAGATACTTTAGTTTAGTTTAGAAAGCGCGAAATGGAAAAAAGATTTAAATTCTAAAAAAAAGTCCCCGAAAACAGGGGGGTAAATGTCACCTGGCGGTAAGGTGAAATAGGGGAATTCAGGGGTGCCAAATTGGCTATTCTGAACATCAATGAAGTGGTTTAGAAGATAGAAAAAGCATATTATAGAGTCAGAATTCAATATGCATACTATTAAAAAAAAAGAAAAAGGGAAGACTACCAGCATGTATGACCACCATTGGTTGCAATAATAGCAGTAATTCTCTCTGGCATTGGGTGCACTGATGTGAAACCACATTCTTGCTAAGCCATGGTTCATGACAGGCATTTAGTAGTAGGCAGAGAATATTGTTAGAAATCGAAAGGTACTGCTTGAAATACTCTCATAGTAGTTTGTTTATTCAGAAGTGCACTCGGGTTTTCCAGGTAGAGATTAGCTTTCTCAGGAAAGTATTTCTTTGATTGTAGGAGTATGTAGAAGTAGGAGTCTAGAAATACTGTATCTAATAGAAAAAAGAAAAATACAAAGGAATACAAAAGGCCATGAGAAAGGCCTAGAAGCTGAAGAGCTGAAGTTTATCTTTTCTTTTGTTAGTTTTTTTCCTCTTTGCTTGTTTGGGGGAAATGTACCTAGATGATAGGGGGTATGAGAACTTTGTTGGTTTTACATCATTGATATATACCCAGAGTCTTGTCCACCATGCCAACCTTGATAGCCTCTAGTGGGAATGGCAAGAGCAAACCCCACAGCCCCGTCTAAGGGAGGTCGCCGGCCCTGTATCACAGAAGCAGGGCGCAGGAAATGACACTTTGGCATGCGAGACAGACTTTGGCAAGATTGCACAGAAGGTCAACACTGCAGACGTCATGCATATTCAGCAGAAATCACTATGCTAGGATTCTCCCTAACGCAGCGAGTGCAGGTTTGTGAGGCGATAGCTAGAATGGCCTAAGCCTACCATACCGTACACGTGCATACTATATATAGCTACTACAATAGAAGTTCAATTTTTAAAAAATCTTAAGGGTCTTATGTATACCTCTATAGGGGCTGCGCTGGTTCTGCCTTGCCAACCATATCCCTCCGGGCAGACCACCAGAGCCAGGATTGTGCCCAATCCCAGTAAACCACAAGTATAATACTATACATACCTGCATCATGTGCCCCCAATCCCAGTGCCATTACCCTATTTTATCGGGGGATCTACAAAAGTCCAAGGTCAAGGCAAATTTAATTCATGGCCCCAGGAGGAACAGTGGTATCGTATGATAATATTGTAATACTATGAGTACAAGTGCCTGTATCTTATTGCCGACCCCCTCCACTGATGCCTTGTAGGAATGCAGACAGTAAGGGGACCCAACGAACAGGGGGGTTCAATGAAAGGAAAAAAAAACCAAGCAAAATCAGCATCTATTATTCGCCAAGACATTTTGCTTTACCCTCCTGTTCGTTGATCCCCCACCGTCTAGAAATGTATTCTAGTAGGGTAGCGGTACCGGTACCAAGGACTCGCTTAACTCCCGCAGGAATAAGGCACATTACCGGGGACCGGAGAAAAGAAAAGAAAAGATTGGGGGGGGAAAGCCGGGAACAACACGCTGATATTGTACAGTGCAAGTTAATCAACTGATAAATTTGGCGGAATGAAATATGGGACTACAAAAGTTAGAAACCCGGATCAGCCGTATTTATGCTCACCTTCCTCCAAAAATACAAACTGGAGGCTCTTCTAGGTCCCAGCAGGATTATGTTGTAAGTGACTCCGATCAAACGGTTCTGTTTCAAGCTCACGATCTCACTTGCACAGCTCTTTCTCTTGGAACATATTACTATTTGCTCACAGGTAATATCCACCCCGTCCTTCTTGCCTACCGGCACTTGAGTACCAGACTACCAGACCCCGTTTTTTTCCCTTATTGATTGCTCGCTCATTGTCCCTCAGAGCCCGCTAATACCTTTTTTATCAACTCTCTCTGTCATACTCGAACACCAGTAAGTCATGGTCCACGTAGTATACTACCGGTAGCTCAAAGGACAAGAGGGTGCTATACTACCGGTACACAACAAGCAAGCCATACAAAACGCCATGATGAATTCTAGTTCAGCTTTCCCTTTTCTTCTGAACCCTCTCGCGCTACAGCGCCCCCACTACCGCTCTTCCGGGACATGTCGTCCAAAAAAACACTCACCCTAAAACACTCGTGGTCTATGCACTTCAGCCCCGACTCACTTGAGATGAAAAATTCCATATTTTCCCCACACCAGACAAGGCAAGAGTACCCACACCTAGCATGAAGGCGTGCCGGTATTTGAAACACTATTTCTGGTACAGGCATTATCGATACCAAGCCCTTTAGCTCTTGGCTCCGGATCCCTATCGCAACCAAGTGCAAGGCAGTGCACCTACCACTCTGCCAGCGATACTCGTACGAGTACCATACCGGTCATAGAGCACAAGCAGTCACAGGGACAAAGGCTAAGTGTATGATATATTAAGTGGCGGGGGCGAAAGGATCCCTGAACCGAAAATAGATACAGTAGGAGGCTCCCCAATCGCCCGACCCTACAGACACATATCGGCACGCATTACCGGTTGTACTCGAGTACACCAAGATTTTCTGCAATATCACAATTGGGAAAAAGATGCTTCCCGAGAACTGATTTTTCTTTTCCCCCGGTTTCCCGCCGGCGAATTCCTCTGAAAAAAAGGACTGTTGCGACCCGCGCTAGGTAGAGTATCGATAGCCCCCCCCCTTGCTACTCGTAGAAGTGGCAAGGCCCCTGGAAGATCTCGGGGTTTCACCCGATTGCCGTACAGGCTATCTCCCTTAGCAACAAGCCTGCGGTACTGGTAAGTACCCTTCGGTGCTCGACGGTGAGGAAATGGGGAATGCTGAATGGGAAATAAGTTTGGGAGGAAGTACTAGAACTCGTACAGTACCGTAGGTTACATCTGCGGGCATTTTCTTTTGAGGTGCTAGTAAAGCGCAGTGATCGGGATTATGTTCGTGGAGGCAAAAGTCATTGGATGATACCGACACGATTGCGTGATGAGTTATATTACGAATTGGGGAGCGAAATTATTGGGTGGCGGAGAGAGACAGTGCTGGAATACGGGTACGGTAGGCCACGGGACTGTACGAGTACTACCGGTACAGTACTGAACACGAATACTGGTACTCAACTCACTAGACAAGACATGATGCCTTGTCGTGATATCCTATCAGAAGGACAACCTGAATCGATAATTTTCAGCATATTCTCACATCCCACCTCCCGCAACCACGTTAGCTAGATTTATGTTTACTCAACCAACCGAAAGGGGAACGATCCAACGAAGATGTCTCTCCAGAACATTATGCACATGAGCCGTTTGCCCGTACGAGTTTCTACTCGAGGTTGCGAAAGCGCACGTGCGGCTGAAACGCGCTGCCAGAAACCCCGCGGCACGGCCCAAGCTCCCCACCCCCTGGGTGCCAAGACAAGCTGGATGTGTTCTTTACTTTGCCGTGGATGAGGACAAAATCCAGCGCTGTCGACTTGATTTTGATGGACTGGAGACTCCTTCTTCTCTGGCCCCGGTGCCCGAATACAGATAATTTAAGACAATCATCATTAATAGTTCTGCGGTGGATAGATGTTGTGAAATTTGAGTCGCGCTTGCCCCGCTCTGGGTTCTCGGTGCTGATCAGGTGCTCCTAGGGGTGGGAATTCCCAGCATCTTATCCGTAGCGAAGTCCCTAGACTAATGAGAGCCATTCAGCCCCAGGGTTAACCGATTAGCATGTTTTTCGAGCGGGGAGACTTTGGTGTGTGTAACGCCGTTTTTGCACGTAGGTCTGGCACAGTATACCCACTCGAAACTTGGCGCTAGGGCCCCAGCTGTCTCTATCCTGTGGAAGTTTGCGAGTGAGCTATTGGTGGAGTTCGAGACTCAAGACACATGTAATGGCGTTGTTGGCTGCAACATGATAACGGCACCCCGGGGCTATGTTTATTCACGCTACAAGTAGGTACGGCGCCGCATCCACCTCCCGACCCTCTTTGCAGGTGAGAAGCCCATCTTAAGACTGATTACACCACTTTGTGTATCGCCAAGCTCTCAACAAATCCGGTTTTTGCTTGAGGACTGCTAATTTCAGTGTGGTTGTTTCACAAGTACAAGTACAGTAACTTTCAGATGAATGCAAACGGACTTACGCTTGTAACTCATGCTTTGCGACTACCCGCATCGAAGGACAGCCTTACTGTGAGACTCCTTATTAGGCATGAGGGTCGTTCAGCGGCTACAAACGCAGAATTATAAGCCTTAGCCAGGGCTCTCCTGCTAAGTCGGGAGCAGAGGATTCTGAGAAATTATCCGCACGGCCAGTTGATTTTTATCTGGAGTGCAACACAGTACAGTACGGTATGGTACCAGCAAATGATACTAGCATAGCGGGGAACAAGTAACCTTTTAAGAATCGCGAAGAATAAGATAGTAGATAAGGCTTGTTCCCTTGAGCTGGAGGGAAATTAAAGAAATTCACGTGCGGTGCTCCTTGACAGTCTATATCTGGCAGTTTATCTCGGGTATCACCCTACTCTGCAGACCGATTGGTAATAAATTCGCTTTCACTTACTGCACCGCGTATACCGTAGACAACTTCCTGTTAAGGACTCGTTTCCCAACCTACCGATCACCATGGGTGCCGGTACGGTAATGCGCGGGAAAGCAAAGGCCACACTCGAGTAGTTACTGCACGAACATGATAGTGGGGACGGTTCAACGCGCTTTCCTAAAACCCTATCGTTGAAAGAGGCCGCCTGGGCGACACTCCCCAAGACGCTATCCGTGCTCCTAGGACAGTACGAGTACTCGAGTACAGAACCGGTACAGTGTTTCGTGTTGCCGTTGCGAATTTTGGCCGAGCAAACCAAAATGGATCTTGTAGGTCCTGTTCGCGGTTCCCTCAACAAGTTTCAACATGACGGCTCCACTCAACGGCACCCGCTCCAGACAAGGGCGCCTTTACAAGTAGGGATAAGGTAAGGAAAATGGAGGGAGAAGGATCTGGGGTGTTGGGCTTTCCGGAATCAGTCTCAGTTCTAATCCCCATACGAGTACATGTGGCTTTAGCTTCCTGAGACAACCACGCAACTTCCCCTCAAACTGTACTGGGCAGAACGGGTACCCTAGACCTGCCACACCCACAAAATGTAACCTCTCGTCCCTCCATCTAATTTTTCCTTTTTTTTGTGTACCCGCATAGTATTATTATTTTTGCTAGTCGGTATATAGGGCCCTAATGTCCCCTTGAACAGAACAAACTTCTAGGGGAAGGAAAATCTAATTTTCCTAACTCGGCGCAACGCAGTCCATCTCTCAAAATGATTTTCCTCTTATTCCTTGTGTTAACCTTGATTACGGCGCAGGCGGCGGAATCCGAGTCCCTTCTCCGACCAAATGGTGTTAGGCTATCAGTTCATTCGCTAACAGAAATCATAAATCGTGACACATTAAAGCCGGCACAGGAAAATGACGGCCTCCCGATTGCTCCCATGCACTATGTTGAGTTGCCTCTTAATCATGGTGATCCTACATCGCCGAAGTTTAGGAACAGGTATTGGGTGGATGATACTTATTATTCACCTGGAGGTCCCATTTTCTGTATGTAGGAAACCGGGCGCCAACATGACGGGATGGGATGTTAATATTTTCTAGTTTTCGATAATGGGGAATCAGATGCAGGCGGTACGGAAGCGTATCTGAGGAAGGGCGCCACGGGATCGCTAGCTAGAGAGTTCAAAGGGTATTTTCTCGCCTCCCTCGGCCGGTTAGAAGAATCCGTGAATTTAACTGTTCCGGGTACAAGGCTTCTGATATTATGGGAGCACCGATTCTATGGTGCCTCAATGCCAGACATGACAAGTGCCATGCGATTCACGCCCGATAAAATAGCGGACTACCTAAAGTATCACACGATCGAGCAGGCGCTGGAGGATGTCGTTGTGTTCGCAAAACAATTCACCTTCGGCAACGAGATTGTCTCTCCCGGAGAGGTCCCTTGGGTGTTCCTGGGTGCGCCCTTCGAATTATTCTCCATAGCTAAGTGCTATTTTACTAACAGAAGATGGTTCATCAGGAGGTTCTTACCCTGGTGCAAGGGGCGCTTGGATGCGGGCTCGTAATCCGGACATCTTCCATGCAAGCTTGGCTTCATCTGCTGTGGTGCAGCTTCAGATGAATTTTTGGCAGTATTACCGCGTAGTTGAAGAGTAGCTATCCTCCCCATCCAACCCTGCCAATAAGCACGCTGATCCTGTTGACCAAGAACCATGGCAAAAACCGGCTACGGCAATTGCTCAGCAGACATCCGCCGCCTAAATAAATGGGTTGACAACGCCTTCGATAATCAAAATGGGTCAGCTGTCGACCAATTCCTTGAGAAAATCACCGGCCCGGAAAATTCGGACCTGTGGAATTTCTTCCACTTTGACGACTCCCCGGATCCGGAGGAAATATGGGACAACAGGAGATTGAATTTGAGGGGTGCAATCGAAATCATTTTCCGTGATTTCCAGTATGTCGGGATGAATGGGGTTCTAAGGGTTTTCTGCGATGGTTTGCAGTACTTCGGTGACCCAAAGAGAGGGAGAACGGACTTCCGGAATGCGAGTGGGATATTTGAGGCGCATAATGCCAGCGCTGCTATCGACATATATGCAAAAGTTTTAGCAGCACTCTGGCCGAAGATTCTCGATCCAACTGATTACCCACCCGATGGAGTGAAGATTGATCAAGTTTATAGCGTGGATTGCGCAATTAGTCAGAGCACCTGCAAAGAAATAATTACACTGTGGTCCTGGGTTTACCAGACTTGCGTTGAATTCGGTATCCCAATTCCCTCCAGAATCACTAGGCCTAACTAACATTCACTTAGGCGGCTACCAAACCGCAAATGTTTCCCGCCCAACGAACCTCCTCCCCAAATTCGAAACCCTCGAAAATGACCTCAAGGATTGTAAAGGTTGGTTTGGCAATGCTGTGGCAGGCGGACCCAATCTAGATCCCATCAACAAAAAGTATGGCGGCTGGAACATGAATCCATCGAATGTCTTCTGGAGCGATGGTGAAATCGACCCCTGGCGCTCCCTCACCCCCAATTCTATTGAAGACAATGCACCAAAGCGTCCTTCTACAACCAAGATTCCCTCGTCTGGGAGCACTGCCGGAGGCAACACGTTCTTCGGGTTTGTCATTAAGGGGGGATCTCACTGCGCGGATTTAGGACAGCACGTTGGACAGGGGCCTGATGAAAATCGAACCAATCTATCCCCGGATACAATAGGCACAAAAGTTCCAGCGGGCTATGTGCCGGAAGCGGATACTGCTCATAACTTGTTTAAGGGTGCGTTGAGGATTTGGTTACCGGCGTTTAAGGCACATCCATTATCCAGTGAGTCCACGTTCAATCGGGATACAGTGGGCAGTGAGAACAATCGACCCAGCAGATCCAACAGCGACGATGAAGACGGCGAGAAGGGTTTAGCAACATCTCTATCGGCGTCTAGATGCTTCTACTCAGCGCTCATTGTCATCGGGGTTTGCGCCATGTTGTAAAGGGACCGCTCGATATATTTCTCCCAAAAACTACAATTACTCGTACCCACACCATTTTTTCCTTTTTCTTAAATCGGCAGCACTAGCATGTACTCATATATCACGGCTTTGGCTTCATACGGGCGGCGTTTTGTTTGTTAATTTCTTTTCGGATTACGGTATAAGATATCTTCTACGTTTTTGCTTGGGGTTACTGAGTGGCTGAGCAAGGTTCGGGGCTCTTTTTCGACTATGATTACTCATTGGGTAAGTGACTGTAAGAGCATTATGAAACTCTATATCATACAATTTCTATCCATAATTCCGTCAGTAATCCAACAGCTGAATGACAACCAAAGATTTCCACGGTCAGCACCACTTAGAGAGAACGATTTCCCATGACCGATGCTGTACTAGAGCTCGTGATAATCATGGAAGTTATGTGGCGTTCCCGTGAGTTCCAGCTTTGCGTCCAGTCACTTCCCGAAAGCTGATAGTCGGACCCAACACGAAAGCCCCGCAAGAACCACAAGCCTAAACCGGGTAGAATATCAATAGTTGGTTCCCCGGGGAAACATTGCAGCTATGGCAACGGAATCGACCTCCTAGAGCGGAGAATTTCATAAAAATCGCTATTTCCCCGTGGAGGAGTCCAGGCGGTTAAGTATTGGGGCAGTGAAGATATCAAGCTACCAGACAAACCAATCCAATTTATGGCCCCACGAGCTGGGCCACCCCGCATTGGGAAAAAAGAGAACTACCCTAGAACCCTAGACAATTAGGCCAAGCGCTATGCCGTTGGAGTAACTCAGAGGGGCTGAGTAGCTCCTCATTTGCTGTGTTTATCACCCCCACCCCTCCAGAGTCGGGAACTTTCGACCACATCGCAAAGGGTCTAATTACTCAAGTTCCTAAGGGATCACACCACCTAGGTAGCCCGAGTGCGGGTTAAGCCCACCACAGCAACCGCCAGGCCTACCCACCCATACCAGCACAGCCCGAGCCTAATGCTTCCTCCAGACCGACAAGGCGCAAAATCCAGAATACACAATAAGTTATAGGTACAAGGACTACTTTTGTGGATAATAAGTACATGAACGGTGCGCCCCAAACCGTGCCCCTCCTTTGCGGGAGTAACACCTACCGGTATTCGTACCGTCTCCTATTTATCCCGCAACCAGCGATAGGATTAGAAAATCCCCCAACGTAGATACATTGTGCGTTACGGGACTCTGGCATATCGAGGCCAAGACCCCGCTACTCACTCAACCGCAGTTGACAAACCCACAAACCCGAAAGCCGCAGATCGAGAGATAGAGGCTACGCCAGATAAACTGGAGACTTCCATGGATTTTTTGTAGTCTCTGTGTCCTGGGGATTCACAAAAGCCCATATCACTGCCCCAGGCACGCAGTCTCTGTCTAGGCTCTGGAGAAGAGCGAGTGATAGATAATGAACAGGCCTCGACTGGTGAATAGATCTGGGGCATCTGGTCTTGCCTTGATTGGCACAAAGAGCCCATAGATACTAGAATAAGTAACCAATATTTTAGTTCCGCTGTCACAGCCACCAGGCTCCGGTCAGCGTGGTTACTGCGCAGGGATTTCCTTTGTGACAGATGGGCCAGGTGTTTTGTAGGATTGGTTAACTTATGTGATGGAAAGTGATGGAAGCAGATAGACATGTCGCAGCTGTGCACAACTTGTGGAGGATTACTGATCAATGGATTTCCTTTGTCTATATAATGGGGTATGCCCCTTATAAGTTTACTTTCTTTACACAACCTGGTATTTTCCTATCTACACCTATACTTAAGAATTACAACTCTTTCTCTTGGTTACATGAGACTAGAATCCTTGAGCCCTGAAACCCCCCTGACCCCCTGAACCTTGATGCCTAGTACAGACAACGTCTGTTTATACACCTATACCCAGCCTCCTTATACTCCTACATCCTTTAACAGTAGTGTACCTTCAACTGAAGTTGGTCTACCCGGAACCTCAGACCCCTTCCCATTACACAGGCATCTAAAATGTGGACCACCGGCATTGCAAAACGTAATGCCCCATGTAAGCAGGGTTAGGATTATTATTCAATAAACTATGATTTTCTGTCATGCTTGTATGTTCAATTTCAGAGTAATATAATATTTAATAAATCCCCTCCGATTCCTTAAACTAAAGCTATTTCTCTCTATTTTCTTCTAAAACCCTCATCCTCCCCATCCTGCCCATCAATATTCCAAATCCATCCTCAGCACTATCACATATTAGGAAGGATCTTACAAGAGTCACCTAACCCTGCTTATATAAGGCATTACATTTTGCAATGCCAGTAGTCCATGTTTTAAATGCCTGGCACCATACCTGAAGCTTCAGCCTTCTCTATTATACTTATCAACTATAGGGTAATATTACAAGCATGTATAAGAATAGTGGAAGTCATGGATACAAAACTAGCAAGAACTTCTTTACTTTTTGAAGTGCTGGTAAACATAAGTAAGAGTGCAGTGAGGTAGTAAACAAAAGAACTAAATATACTTGCTGAAAAAAATGTCAGAGAAAAAAGGTTCACACTAGCTATTTCCAAGTATTTCCAGCTCAGAACGCAGAATGAGAAGGTTTAAACAATACTAGGAACAAGAGGTATTCGGCACTCTACCCCCAATGCGAGATACGGCACATGAGGCTGGCCCAATGATTTACTATACAAGTACAAGTGCGGCAGTGGAGCAAGCGTTGAATTAAAAAAAAATAGGAAAAAATAATTAAGCCTTGATCACATGCTGATCCTAAAACTTGCGAATACTAAGCCGAGCAGGAACATGTTCCCGAGCAAAACCTCCAAAGAAAAAAAAACGAGACGCTCATAAATCAGCGCCGTTCATTTCATAGGGGACGGGAATGTCCGTTTCCGTGCGCATGAAACCTATGCAATTTTAACGTTTATGCAACTAACCCCGTGCAGCTCGTTGGCCTCGGACCCCTTATCCGGAGTCAAATGAGGATACCACTTCATACAAGTACAAGTACTGTACCGGTGGCATATGGCACGGTACCGTGCTCACACAGTTTCCAAGGAGCTTCCAGAAGGGCTTCCCGAGAAGATGGGACCGGCATTGTGAGACCGAATGTAGGCCGAGATGAGTGACTTAAAATCCTTTAGGAAACTCGGTCATCCATCCCTAGCCCAGGACTGATTAGCGGAAAAATGATACTTGTACTCGTACTAGTACAGCACTTTAGCTTTCTCTCTTCCTTCGTTAATCTACTCGTAGAACGTAACACAATTGCCACACCGGAATAACTCTACGGAGCTTCCATCACCAGCTACCATTCAAAATAGGGAGGACTGTCACAATGCCGCGAAATCGATAGTATGGGTATTCATGACACAATGCCGGTGTCCGTCACTAGGTCCAGGAGATCTTCGGGATATGATACACTGGTATGGTACAATTTCTCACTTTGGCCTATTTTCTTATTTGTAATATTCTCACCGCTAGAAATCCTTTCCGTGCGTTGGTCTGCTTGGGCCCGCTCTTGCTTAAAAGTGGTATGTCCCGGGTGGGTGGGTTCTTGAACCGGGATTCCCGGGAAATTTTAAAAAAGCGTTACCCTATTCCTCGGTTTGGCTTAGGGAACAGTAGGGGAATTTTAGAAAAAATACCATCAGGCTTCAAGTAATTCTCGATTTTTTCAGTCTTTCCTTTTTCCGGTAAATATTTTGTTGCTTGTTGATATGTGAAACCTCGTGGATGTTACGCGCTCGTCAATAAGGGTAAAAGACACCCTCTGTTTTGCTGGGTATCATAGTTGAAAGGTTTTTCCATTTAGTTACTCGAGCGCGCTCTATCAAATTTAAATTTAACTAATGGGTATTCTGTCATGATGGGAAGTGAGTACCCAGATTTCCCTTCATAATAACTCCCACTTCCCTGCTCGAAGACATTGAGCACTTATCCCCGGAGATCCAGGCCCTGAAGACGATCATCATCACGCTAGGGGTGAAGCGAACCGAGTCGTACGAAGGGTTGGGGTCATAGCCGGGAAACGCCCGGCTTTATTGATCACTCTAAGTCAATTCCTCTTATCTGTGGTATGGGTTGACGAAAGGATTAGCGGATTTTGTTTAGTAAAGGTAGGGCCTCTTCGGGGGCTATATAACGAGACCAAATGAGGAATAGATTACTGTCCCAATTTCATGATTATCTATTGTTCCAATATTTTGCCTAATCCCGGTACTGACATTATGCTGTCCGCATAATTTGAGACTAGGCAACTCAATATCCCACTGACTATCCTCGGGCTGGCGCAGCGGTAGAGTGGGCAGATTCTCTCGGGGCCTTGAAGGAAGGAAGAACATAGCCATAAACTCCGCCATCTTATTCGGCATTCTAAACCAATGGAAAAGTCAGAGGTATATATCTAACATAAAAAAGAGCATCTTGATCCATGGGTCACCAGACGTATGTCCGTTCCTTCACCCATGCCCCCATTCCTCCATACACCCCTATTCAGGCGGGGAATGACATACCGGTAGCTGGAAAACCTTCCCCGTAAACCATGTTATCTCCAGAGTAACTGAAATGGTCCAATGTTCCCTGAAACATAGGGAAACTCCGCCATCATCCTTGACACATATGCCGCCTTCCGCAACACTAAAGCGAATCCGGTATCTCTCATAGCTACTCCAATTTTCCTTGAAGGAGCTAGGCACTCAAGCCTTTTATGCACTAGTTCTTTTTACATATATCCCGTTATATGTTTCCTCGACAGTCCCTACGAAGCTCCCACCCACAAGAGAGCCACAAGCGCCCCTAGGCGAGTGAGAGCTCGTAGTGGGGTGTCTAACAAATCAAGAAGTGCCTTAGAGCCAGCTGTATAAAAGTAGGTTGATCGATCGGTCCTACATCTAGCACAGTTTAAAAAGCACGAGTGCATGGGGAAAGATGATAGGAGAAAAATCAAGCAAATGAGGCTCCGTGTGTTAGATTCTAGAGGGGTATAGTACAAGGAATGAAAGCCTTATATGAGTTAGACCCCCAGATACAAACCTCGATCTTGTTCCATCGATATCCGAACCCATTTAGGCCTCACCTCGGAAACAAGCCCTAAAGTTCTTTTTTTTTTTCATTACGAGTGATCAACGATGAGGACAGCCCTCCCAACACCTCAAACTATGCACCCAATTATCCATCGCTCAAGAACGGAAACGAAAGTTGCTAGCTAAAGAATCGGATTGGGAAATCCCTAGGATTCACGAGCAAAGAAAAGCCCAATCTAGCCTCGTGTCCAACATAAATACACGAGCCGCCCCTGTACAACAGGGAAAATCCAAAACCACTCCTGTTCGAGCCCAAATGTTTATACCCCAACCGGACTGCAACCAATAATCTACACTTAATACTGCACTCCGGGTAAAAAAGCCATTACTACTGTTACTTAACTTCGGTAAAGGAAAAAAAGAAGAGAGAGAGAGAGAGAGAGGTAAACAAATGACAGAACCAAGCCCCCCAATGCGCCCGAAACACGGATGAAAAGTAGAGAAAAAATTAAAAATTATACCAACCATCAAGAGCCAACCTTTAGCTAGCAACCCTCGAAGGTACGGGGCTACCCTGTACATGCCTGTCCTTCCTCCTTCCAAAGAACATGGTCAACTGCCTCCTCAGACTTTTCAACGGCCCGCTCACATTCCCCATTGTCTTACTACGTACCGGCATCTGGGGCAATGGCGGCAGTGGCCTCTCGGCAAGCTCCTTCGGTAACAGATCCCTCTTCATACTATGCGAGGTATTCGGCCTCGGGAACAGTACTAATTTCTCCCTCTCGCTGCCGCTTTCGTTCCTCCGTCGCTCGAGTTCCCGCCGCACCCATTCGCTTGTCCGGCTTTCGGCTCCGCCTGATGTCTTTGGCCGTGGGGTTACGCGTATTAGTGACGGCTTGCGCTTTAAACCTACGGGCACCTGTATTGCGGATGATTCGAAGGACTTTGCTCGGCCGATCTCTTCGGGGCTTATCAATTCTGCCGGCGGCTCGGGCGTGCGCACCGGTGTGTGGGGTGGCGCGTGGGATTTCGCTCCGAGGTTGCGTGCTGTGCTTGCTGGGGGCGAGGGTGTCCGAGTTTTGCGGGCCTCACTTGTGCTCATCTTTCTTGCGAGGGCGGTTTTGGAGAAGTTGTAGGGTGCCACGGTGCCATTCGAGGATGGGGGCGTCGGAGGCTGGACTATTGTGCTTACTTGAACGAGGTCTTTTGGTGAAGGGGACTCGGGACTGATATCTGTGTTGGGTCCCAAGGAGGTCTCGAATTTGTTGTTAGTGGTTCGGGTGAATGACCGGGCTGCGTTCGAAGGAACGTAAGGCGATTCTCCATCCGGCCTCGGGCTGGGTGCCGAAGCTGCACTTCGCGATGAAAATAGTCCTGAACACGATCGCCGTAGTTCCAGTTCAGTTCGTGGGCTGAGAGGAGCCAGTGATGAATATACAGGTAATGGCTTCTTAGCAGCGGCAGTGGTGGTAACGACAGTAGTTTCAATCTTCGGTGAGATATTTGTTTTCTAGAAAGGTATCAGTCAGCTTTGTTTCAATGTTATGTTATACAAGTGAGGGGAACGATCCAACTTACAATCGGAGCAGGTCTTGTGAACGCCTTTTGTCTCATTTTGACGACTTGGATAAAATCGAATAGACTATCTTTACGATGTGATATGTACTTTCCTAAGCTTCTTTGTAAAGGAATGGAAAATACGCTCTGCGTATAAAAAAATGAATGCCAGTAAGAGAGATTCAAAAAGGAGTGAACGAGAATATAAAAAAAAGATAACGAAACGAACGCAAAACGAAGGAAGGACAGTGAGAGGAATAAAAGTTCCAAGGAGACCGGGCAATTAGGGGGCGTAGCCAGGTTTTCATATAGCTGGTATCCTTTGCCAGGGAAAGGGGGGGGTGGTCATTTGGTGGCCCACAACAGTGTCGAAGTTGACCGCTAACCAGGGATCCGTTGTGCATTCTGTTGAAATGCACACCCGGTGGGGAGGAGCGAAACGCCCTACGCAACGCGGTTAGAATTGCGCGCTATCATTGGCCAAGGGGTCTTAAATTGTAAATTGAAGGTTGCCGAGCAGAGTTTCAGAAGAAGCGGTTAGTGTTACCTGTACCGACGCTCGTTGCTAGGTCCGGGCTGGGATTGCTTCTTGAGCCACAAGAATGGGTGGAAGCCTGTTACAGTATCTGCAGAAGAAAAGATACGGTAAAGGTTATGGAGAATACATCTCATGGCACATGTGGCGCCGTTACAAAGACACCCCGGATGGCGAGATCACCGAGGAATTTCACTTGCATCGTCCGCCCCGAGGCGGCCCGACAAAGCAAGAAGAAGTTCCGTCCACTGCCGGACGGAACCTGGTCGATTCATAGTGAATCGCTAACAAGAAGGAAGCACGTAAGAAAAGAAGACAAAACAAGTTTCGTAGGGTCACGATTTGGATATTACGTTCATTATACTGTACGGCAGGGGTATCTACTCAAACTGCCGGTATTAGTAGCTCCAACATGAGGCGGATTAGTTTGACAAAAAAATCTCTGAAAGCAACGATAATACAGAGTTCCAGCACGGCATTCCCGAATCCGCTGCAATACAATACACCTGCAATACAAACATGTTTCCACGGGCGCTAGAATGTCACTGCCAGTCCCCCAAAAATGTCTCACGTTGTTCACGTTTCTCGCTCTTCCCGCAATACGGCCGGTGTGGCTCCCTGCGGAGCATGGAAACACTGCCTTCCCCGCGATATAGCCCATAACGACTCACCGTACCACAATACTGTAGAACCGATTAACCGTGCGTGACGAAAGATCTCGTACCCGCAATATGCCCAATATCAGCCGGGGAAGGTGGAAGAAGGGCAAACCATGGGATTTCCGCTGCTTACAGTGCTGCACTTGCACAGCCATGTGGGAAAAAAAGGGAAAAAAGAGTGAAGAGAGTCCCCTCGCGCAATCTCCTTTGTCCAACCACATCTTGCGGATCAACCGGGTCGACCGCGAAAGGTTAAATCGACACCTGCACACGTACGGTTCAGTTCTGCATTATACAGGTACCTGTAAGACCACAAATGAGCGGCCACTGGTAATGGTGACATGGCACCGGAAAAACTGAGCCCAAATGCCCGGGGGTTTAGTGTGTGGGTACCGTATAATAAGTCTTCCCCTTGTGGGCCGAAACGAGTAATGCATAGAGTCATACGGGCGGAGCAAGTGTTTATGTACGAGGTGGGTGATCTGCGGACCATCGTGCAGGGCGTTACATGTCGTGCCGTAGGTTGAGCATGGGGCTGGAAGTGGTACTTGCAGATATGTGCTGGAATGGGTGGGGAAGAGGATAATGCAGGGGGTTTGAATCCGTCCCGCATTCCGGCAGGATGAGGCTATCGGAATCGATTAGTTGGCAGTGGATATCATACCAGCAGTCTTATTGATCCTTAAAGATACAAAATTATGATTTAGCCAAGGAGAAATATGCCGGAGTGGCTAGGAATATTATATATCGTTACCAGACCCTTTGTTTTGTAAATTTACTACAAGGTACCGGCAGTCTCTTCGAATAATATAATAACCCCTATTGAGGCGCCCGATGTGCTCCAAGACGATCGGCTTACGGGGGCACAAAGCACTCTATCTGGTACCGGGGAATTTTCCCAAATAGGGGTGTCTCGTACGAGACCTACACGTGTGCTTCCAGTACCAGGTACCGTACTGTACCTGGTACGAGTACTAGTACATGTACTTGTAGATAAGTTGTTTATCCCCGCCCCTGGTCGATTGTTCGATATCGCTGTCAATATCATCGCGTAATACTCTAGTTTAACCCTTGGCAGTATCTCGGATTGAGGCCGTGTCTCATATAATGAACGTTTGGCCATGTGGATCTAGGATTCAATTCTCTCGCATTCTACTAAATCTCTTAAGACGAAGCACTCTCTCTTCACGAAAGCTTTGACTTTATGTAGCGGTTTGAGGCACCTTCGGCGCGTTTCTTCCCTTCGGTTGGCGCATAAAAACAGCGATCGAAGGGCTACCACAAACAAAGTGCCTCTAGTAGGATCAGTATTCGGGATACAGCATAATACGAGGTAGCACGCTCTACAAGGAGTCATAATTCGGCCGACAATTTTCAAAACTATACCTTTTGGCACCCTGTGGAACATACAAGCAATTTTAATAACGTGTTTATTTATCATTTACTGTACGAGTACATCCCACAGTATTCTCTTGGACAACCCATTTTCCCGCGCGGTTGGCATAGGCATAGCACAGCGCAGTGCTCGTACTGTACATCAAGCACATTGTTTCAAGGTACCGGTACTGTACTGGTACATCACTCGCTAATTCGTGAAGTGTCAGGAAGGAGGGGAGCTAGGTTCCTCGAATTTGAGTGCAAAGCACCAGTTCTTGGCGTTTTTGTGTCCAGATACTGTATGAATTAACTGCTTAATCACGAGTAGTTCGAACATGTAGACGCCCGTGACAAAGCTCGCATCGGAGAAACAAAATTATCCATAGGTGTAACTGAGAAAATAATTTAGTTCTGCGAGACCTCGAACTCAGGTGCCGGTATGATACCCGTTTTCTCCACCACCAACCGGCCGCAACTTCGGAGTGCGCACGCGAACGAGCCCTCCCAGCCTTCTCCCCCGCCGAAAAAAAGCCCAGATGGTGCCATCCCCCCTCCGTGTAGGCTTGGCCCACCACCCAGTCGAACGATACAACCAAAGATGTTGTTGCACGGGATTCTGCAGGAGGGGCCTAGCTCCAGTCCAGGTCCTGGCAGCTGGTGAGAACGCTAACGCGAATTATGCATTAATATCAAAACTCCCTATCAAGACATCTCGACTTGTGTTTGAAACGTAAGGGCGAACTCGATGTCACTGGGGTCGGCGAGCAAGGGGGAAGGATGATTCCCTCGGCATGCTCCTGACTCAGGATGGGCGTTTTATTGGGGCCCTGTGAAGGGCTGTTTTGGGCTGGCTAGGGAAGAGAAATGCTGTACTAGTACTAGTAGGGGGGGATGAGCGCTGGGGTGGGAGCAGCAAGTTGGTGGTGATGCGAGCGTATGGGGTACTGAAGCGAGGCTTTTCTGACGCTATGTGGTACCGTATGTAGGTTGTTGGTAATTGGCTGTTGGGCAAAAATGTGGAGGATGCCCGAACAGGGGCTGGTGCTCCCTAGAAAGACCCCACTAGGTATCTTGACTGGCCTTTGAGATAACTTATGTAAAAATCATTTAGAAGCTGTGATTGGTTTAAAGTTACTTTTCATTGATATTTTGGATTCGAGCACGCTGCTCGAGTAAACGTCGAGAACCTTTATTTAGAAGTTGTACTAGGATCCCCTACTCTACTAACCCACAAAGTATCGCGCCCTGTTTCTGGAAAGGTCTATCTCGTGGGGCCAGCGTGGTACTTGTAGCCTCCGCTCCGGCCCCCAAAAACTCTGGCAGAAGGGCTCAATGTCCTGGAAATGGATAACCCGAATAATCATAACACTAAAGCGAGTCCACCTCTTGGAGAGAGGGGGATCTTTCCACTGCTGAGCATCAGTTACTATGCCTTCCGCTATCCCACAATTCGGTAACGTATTTGACCTAGTTATGGGACACCCCCTAGTTATGGGACACTTTTAAAACTTGTACACAACATAAAGAATCATGAACCACAACAGCAGTAGATGATCAATTTGGTAGCAACTAGGAAGAAAGGATATCAGTATAGGTTAGAGTATATAATATGAAATTTAGATTATATTACATAAAACTAGAATTGTTATTGAGAAAAGTATAGAGTAAGTAAGATTTTATAATTGGACCAATTAGGAATTTTTCAAAAATACATAGAAAAATAGTAAAAATATTCTGTAACCTGGATTAATTAGACTAGATTCCTCCTCAAAGCTAGTAGGTAAAAGCATTAAGATTAGCTATCTAGTAGAGTTAAGTCATTAGCTTGAATAAAGGTGAGAATTTTTTTATTTTAACAATATTGTACCATATAAGAAAACTTGAACCACAATAGCTGTAGGGGTTCAATTGAGCTACAACTTGAAATATTGAATATAGATATCATGTAAAATATACTATATGAGTATTATTATCTAGAACTTAAAGGAAGAAATATTGTTACAAAGAATAATAAAGCAAGTGAGATTTTATGATTGGGCAAAGAAGTAATTATTTGAAAATAAAATAAAAATACAAAAAATATTCTGATGCAAGGATAAGATAGACATTATTCTTAATTAAAGTAAGAATATTAAAGTATATTGATTAGGAATTTGGTAGGGCTAAGTTATTAGTTTAAATAAAGTAGACCATTCAATCTACAAAGACTTATCTTGTGGTCACTATTTTAGCCTCTCCAACTTACC